TCCGTCCTCTGTGCCTGATTAGAAATGTGTTTCTCTGTTGCCTTACTACCCACAAGCCCCCACGTTCATTCAGAAATGTGATGTATCTGTAGCTCAGCTTCTCTGGGCGCTGGACGGCTGAGGTGAGCCATCCTGAGCTCTGGTGGCCCCTCTGCAGTCCCCCACCTTTGAAACCTTGGGTCCCCACGTCAGCCACAATTGGGGGCGGCAGCCCCTCAGCCATCCCTGGGTGGCCCTGCTCCATGGCCGGGGCGCTAAGAGGGAGCTGCCCGGGACGGTGTTTCCTTTATTAACGAAGCCTCCTGGTCTAGTTCTGTGTCACACAGGACTGGGGATGCCTGGACCCTGATCACGGGTTTTCCCTTCAGTAGGAGTGGGGTGCACTTAATTTTGTCAGCCATTCCTCTCATTTTTATTTACTTATTATTCAGACATAGGAAATGATTTCAGCTTAATGAAATTGGCGTGCATAAAAGAAAAGAAAGCACGAATTCTACCACTTGGGAACATGGTTATCTTATTTTAACTGATAAAATGTAAACTTGAAGGTCAGGTAAGTTCCCATGTAAATGATAAGCCCTTCCAAGTTACGCAGTTACATATGCGGAGGTACACTTGGCACTGCACTAAATATTTCTGTTGTCGTGCATTTGAGCCATTAGTTTTGATTTGGGCAGTAACAATAGACCAAACGGTTTGAATCCTTTCCTGCTAACTCTTTTAAGCAGACTGTTAACAGAAACCCAAGTTGCACGTTACTGCTGCTGTGCTGCTGTCCTGTCTCAGTGTGTCCTAGGAGCTCTTGTGTAGTCTTGTGCTGACACCTGTGTTTTGGTTTAGTCATGACAGTGATTGATTGATTGATTGGGGTTACTTCTTTGGCTGTTCTGATGCTTTTGTCACTGTTCAGCCCTCACCTTACTTTCGTTTCCTGACTTCCTTGTGTCCCCTAACTTGCTACTCTGTGTCGTTCACAGAATTGTCTTATCTAGAAGGTTTAACATCAACTTTTACTTTTTAAAATTACTAACAGTTTAATAATATGACTTTCATAAATTCTAAAATTTCCAAAATCTTTTAGTTAATATTTGTAGCTACTTGTACTCTTCATGACTTTTTCTTTATTTTTATATCCGCAAAAGTTACATCTGGGACTGAGGTTGACCACACCCTCGTTAGCTCATGCCTCTGCCTCGTAGCAGCTTTGAAAGAGCAGGGTGAAGACGCACACATGGCAAGCAGCTGCGGGGGTTCCCTCCAAGGTGCCCCTGAGCCGGGGGACTGATGCTCTGTGGCGGCCACCATTTATATGATTAGAACGCGTCCAAATGCAGTTTTACATGTTCTTTTTTTTTTT